AATGAGGAATGTCACATTCTTTTGGTATTGCACTACGAAAGAAGAATAGGTCATCCAGTGTGTAGTCGTCACGATCGACCTTAGCAATCAGTACTTTTGTACCATGAGGAGCGTCTGTTATTCCAAATTCTAAAGCATCAGCATCTTTCAATAGTCCCCCACTGTTTATAAAATAATCCTTTAACTTCTCTTCATATGCTGACCAGGTTCTCTTTAATGTACGATTGCCACTCAAAAACACACGAACAAGTTTAATTATCAGTTCATAGTTGAACCATGATACATACTTATCTTGCAAAATGATAAAAAGATTATCCATTGATTCAACATCACTAAACTCTTCTCTAACTGCTTGTACTGCAGCTGGATTATTCTTTCTGATGGGGCCCAACAGAGCATGAATATGCATTGTAAGATATTTGATGATTTTATGAAGAAGTGCTGGCTCATTTGAGAAGGATTCCATTGTCAGTTGTAATGCATCAGCAAACACATCCTGTAACTCATATATCTTCTTTGCCAATGGATGGTTTATTTCAGGACGATGAACATAAACTGTATAAAAGAAAATAGAGCAATTTCATTAATTACTACATGAAAAGGTTATTGGTATGATGAATAGTTAACATTATTTAATTTAGTAATGTGTTTGATTTGTGCATTAAAGGAGGCAATTATTGGACTCGTCACGCTTGCGTAGGCGGGTACTATGCAGTTGGGTTGTCATTCTGTCATTCTGTCACGAAAATTCCTGTTAACTCCTAGTCAATATCTTTTTTACTGAGCTCTCCTGAGTTATAATTCTTTTTAAGCTTTCAGAAAAAGGTAATTTATTTAGCTTCGTTGTATTTTCATAGCAATCTGTGGTAGCAAAAGACGAATATTTTCAAGAATAGACCACTTTTCCTAGCCAAATCTTTGTGTTTCACTCTATTTGGTCAAGATTAGCTTTGATAGGTAGAGAAAAGTACCTAGATTAAAAAAATATGTGGGAATTTTCTAATATCTTTTTTATTTGCGAGTTACAGTTGCATAAAGTTTGTGATTTAGCCTCTTCGAAAAATTTTCAGGCAGCACTGGGGAAACCAGGAGCAACCAAACTATCTCAGTCTCTTTTAAATATCCAGGCAAATTTTTTGTGCTTACTCTTTCTTTGAATAGAGCTTCAGATGCTAAAATTAATTTCAGCTTTTCTTCTTATTCTTACCCACGTGCCATGTTTATCTGCACTGCACTGCTAGGTCTAAGTGCTGACCACACCTATAATTTATTTTATGGATCAGTGCAGCAATTGCATTGTTGCAATTTACTCAAAATCTATTATCCTTTTTTCAAATCTTATGTATATATAATATCATGATGGGGGCAGTACAAGTAACACATTATCTCTCAGCAGGCGAGTCCACACACCATGGTGTTTCATTTTTACCTGAGTTATTGTATGAGCAATAAAATAGCTCAAAAATAGCTATTAAAAATAGCTAAAATTTTTATAGTTAAAATAGCTATAAAAATAGCTCATTATAATATTATTGTATAAGCTATTTTCCTATCATAGTGAAGGCGGATTGAACGACAAATTACCTGTTGCTCTGTCAGTGCTTGCTGGTGACATAGCTACCTCATCTGTTTCAGGAGTAGCACTCTTTTCTAAAAAAATACAAAATATAATAGCAAAAGTACTAATGGTAGAATTGTTATGAAATAAGTGTATACCGTATAGGGCATAATGTTTACGGGATGCAAATTTCGTGGATAAAGTAAATTCACAGATAAAGTAAATTCGCAAAAATAAAGTCCACAAATTTCAATTTAATACAGTACCCGCATGGCACATGTGGTAGAATTCGCGAAATTATACGGTATATCATATAATACCTTAATTTACAAAAAAATATATGTGCCAATTTTGTGTATGTGAGACAATATGCTAGGGAAATAATTTCATGACAAATCTAATATTGCATTTTCATAATCAAATCTGTATATAATGATATTCATTGCTTGATAATAATATTCATGTACTATATCAGTAGTGTGACATTAAACGAGAAGGTGTGGTATAAAAGGCGGTGCCCTGGGCATGGTGGCTTTTGGTACCAAATTGAGTTACATTTTACTCTCAAAGAAGATAAGGACCAGTTCTAGTTAGGCTTGATCGAGTTAAGGGGTCTTTAGGCACTAAAAGAAGAAGGCGCTGGAAATGCTGTCTCACTTACTTGCTGATTTAGTCGGGAAAGAGGGTCATTTAGAGGCTCTATCACATGATACTAGTTATACTCAATACTTCAGGTAGTTATAATGTGTTTGAAATTAGTATTAATATAAAATAAGGTATTGGTAATGGGGGACGAAGAGCAACCATTTTGTGCATAGATATAGGATCGGCTATTGGGATGCATATATTGGTGATAGTGTTGTATGGTTGACCGAAGGGTGATCAATTACAGTCAGGTATTATTTATTATTATTATTATTATCTTATTATAATTATTATCAAAATTATATTTATTTATATAGGATCGTTGAATGTTGCAACTGCTACCAGTACTAGGATCTGATTGAGGACCAAGTGGGGGTCTCTTGCTGTAACCACTTCTACTTGATGAGGGTGGCTGATAATTGGTAGTCGGCCAGGCCGCCTTCTGGTCCCAGTGGTGGCAGTTCCTGGGCTGGTTTTTTATGTAGTAATGAGGGCTATTTCTTTGCCACTATCACTTATAACCTGCCTGATAGCATTATTGACCAAGTTTGTTAGGCTGTTGACAGATTTTCAGAATATACAATATAAATATTTGATAATAATGTAAAAAATTATTACTTCAAGTCAATTATACCATTTCTCTTCTTGCCATGCTTTCTACCTGTGCTTGTAGGTTAACTCTCTCGCCTTTACTAATTTTAATGTTTTTATAATGCGTTTTGCTAGTGATTTAGCCATGATAAGAACAGTGCCAGTGCGGGAGCCATTTTGTTATTTTCAAATGTGGCCGCCATATTGTGCCCAGGGCACCTCCTTTTATACGGTGACCGGCGGAAGCGATTCTATGACGTTGCGTGGATAGTTTTATAGTGCACCTTCTTCTTTAACTATGCAAGCAATTAGCTTAAGGCCTTTCTACACTTGTCCACTTTGGATACAGAATTAAGACAAAATCCAGGATTAAAGCAGGATTAGCTTGTTCATACTTGTCTTGAATCGGGATTGAAGCTACTGAGATCAGTCAATCCACATCCAGAGGTGGATTGAAGTGGATTGGTCTTAATTAAATATTCATAACCTGTAGAAGCCAATGCAGTTTAATTCACTTTTAATTCTTCAAAGTGGCTTAGTGTGAACACAACCAAAGAGGATTCTATCTTAGTAGGTTGCAATTCTGGATCCAAAGTGGACAAGTGTAGAAAGGCCTTTAATACCAAAAAAGGAGATAATTAGGCTACCCAACCCAACCTACACTAACACATAATGTATTATCATAGATACTGATACACTGACAGTGATACTATTGATGACAACACTCAACTAATACAGGGGCATAGCCAGGGGGGGGGCAAGGGGGGCAATTGCCCCCCCTTTTTAAAACTCAAAATTTAAAAATAATCAAATAATAAGCTGCTTTTGGAAGGAAAAGCTGTTCTACAACTTACATATGAAAGGAAAAGGCCAAAGCAGTCTTTCTATGATGCCATTATAAGGCTGAAAAGGTATTCAACGTTGCCTATGATCGGTCAAAAAGTCCGCCATGTTGAAAAATAGGTGTGGCCACGCCCTAAAAGGGCGTGGTTCCGCAAAATTTTGCGGCGCGCTTCGCGTGCCACATAGCTTGCCCCCTCTTTTAAAAAATCCTGGCTACGCCACTGTAATATATGTACCTTTTGAACTAGTTGATCTTGCAGGTGGCATAGCTGGTAGAGGATGTTCACGAGCTATTTCATCAGCTAATGCTGAATTTCCTCCTCCTTCTTTAACAGCTACACACACCATTCTCCAGCAGGGCCAACCATAACACTCATAATCATAATTTTTCATTAGCCAATACTCTAGAACTTTCTGCAGGGAAGAAATTGCATTTCCATGAGAGGTAGCTTCTATGATATTAATGTCAGTTATTCTCAAACGTAATGAAATGGCGAATGATTTCCAACTAGCAGAAATAGACTTCACTTTATCATACACTGAGTGATACTCATCAATACCTGAAATACACTTTATAAAATGTCAAATATACCTACAAACTCACTTAGTTCTTTATTGCAAACGTTTATAAATGGAGAAGAGGAAGAAGAGCTTGTAGCCATTGTTTGTCGCTGTGTTGACATACACACACTGAAACTGAAAGTGGTTAGCTACTAGGCGTGGCTATAATCTCCGTATACTTATAGTTTACGCTTAGATATACGGAGTAGACACGTGGTTTGTAATGGCGTTCCTTGTCCTGTGTACTTGTAGAAAGCTTTTCTCCCTCTCTTCATCTCTTAGTAGAACACCATCAAAGAATCAGCTCTTGACTTCCAGACTATCTCATTTATTAAATAAAGGAGTGAGGACCCTACACACTGGAGTAAGGACATAATGTAATGTGTCTAATGTACCACTGATCAGTGTAATCCGGTAATTAATTGGGTTAAAATTAGATTAAAATTTTAATGGATAGTCTACTGTATATGCTAAAAATTTCCTGGGGATTAAAAATAATTTACCAAATTAGATGTAAGGTGGGAAGCATAAATTAATTTTTATGTAGATTTTTATTGTTTTTATATTAAATTTAAATTGAATTAAGACAAAACATTTTTATAATTTTTGTAAATTTTATTTATAAACCTCAATGAGTCATGCACATATTCATTTTATTAATAATGTCTCCTCTCCCTCTATCATCTCTCATTAGTATATATACTCCAGTAGTTCTGAATCAAGTGATGGATCAGATGATCCTAAGACTAATGATGATGAAGGGTCTCTGGATGAGGTTGATTTGGGTTCTCTCTCTCGTGCTATTGCCACCATATCAATACCTGATACTCTACCTGAGGTACCTCTCCTGGTACTCAATAGGAACCCAATGTTCCCACGGTTTGTCAAAATGGTGGAGGTAAGTCTAAATGATTTGATATTGTTAGTTATACTCTACCATATACTGGGTACTTTCTCTTTCCTTCTCTTTCAGGTTACTGATAAATCTCTAATGTCTTTAATAAAACAGAAATGTGACCTGGCTTTACCTCAAGTTATGCTGGGGCTTTCCTTAAAAAGAATAACAAATACTTTATATTATAATACATACATTAGCAATCTATCCATCACTTTTAATATCTTTTCATTTTATCTTATAATCTGATTTCATTTTATTCCTATTAATTAGTGAATTATTATTATTAATGGTATAGCTGGTCACACCCATATTAATTAATAGCTTTTTTAAATTTTTAAAGATCAAAGAAGCCATGCAGTGTCTAATGGCATCTATTTCTCTCTCCTCCTCTTCTTTGGGTCGAGGCTAAAGTCAAGTTGCAGCTGGGAATGACATTATACCATCACACGAATAACCTCCTGGAGGCCAGAGAACTATCAGAACAAGCTGTGAGTTTATGGTATACACATTACCATTTGGGAATGAATTAGTGAATTTGATAAACTTATCACAAAAAGTCATAATTCAAAAATTTATAGTCGGAATTGGCTGAAACTTTCTACACAGCATAAGGACACCAATATGTATCAGAAAATGTAATAAAAATTTGGGATGATTTAGGAGCAATTTTTTGGAAAAACCATAGGCTATATATAGTACAGGGAAATTTTCAGAAATTTGCTCATTTTAAAAACAGCCATAACTCAAAAATTTACAGTCGGAATCAGCTGAAACTTTATACATAGCATAAGGAGATCAATATTGATGTATCAGAAAATGTAATAAAAATTTGGGACAATTTCGGATTATTCTAAAGTTGCTTTAAAATGTAGTAGATACAATGGCCGAATTTCACTTAAAATGAAAAGTAGAGAATTCTCCATTTTTATAATATACTTCCTGTTCTTATGTTGTGTAGAAAGTTTGAGTTGAATCAAAATTGGATTTTTTATGAATTTTTAAAGTTCGTCAAAATTAGGCTGAAAGCCATGTACTTCAAAATCTGGCCAAAGACCATGGGCGATATGGTACAGGGTATTTTGTCAAAAATTGGGAGGAGAAAATATTTCATTTTTATTACATGACCATTCTTATTTCTCTCTCTCTCTCTCTCTCTTGTCCCACAGAGAGTCATTGGCTCAGATCATTGAGGCTGGTAAAAGAGTTATAAATGATCCTACACATCTTGCTGATTTTGGAGCTGCACTGACCAGTGGAGAATCACATCAAATTCAAGCAGTTCTTGAATGTCCAGACGTAATCACTTCAAGTCCACTCTGGCAGGAGAACTGGAATAAAATTGTTGACTTATTTAATTTTGATTTTATAAAATATATTAAAAATTTATTAAAACGTCAAATAGAAAACTCAATGCTATTGTTTCATAATAAAAGTACATCAAAATACAATAACAACAACAACAACAATAATAACAACGACAATAATAATAATAAAAAATTAAGTGTAAGTACAAAATAAAGATATATGTGTACATGCTATAATAAAACAATTTATTAATTAAGGAAGAAAGGGAAGACTAACAAAAGAAAGCAAAGAGTAGCTCCAGTGATACATGTTAATGGAGAATATATTAAAGAAGAAGGATTGGTGATATTGGTAACCATTGGGGTGTACCTGTGGGTATATGGTGTAATGGTGATAAATGGCAAGGTGGTTACGGTTACGATGGTAATATGGTGGTACAATGGTAATGGATATATTGCATGTCTTTGGTGTACATGGTAATGATAAGATGACAATGGTGGTTAAATGTCAAACTTAGTATAAAGGTGTTAAGATTAATGGTGATACAAGTTTAGATATTGCACAAGTATTGTATAGGTGATA